AAAGAAAGAATAGAATAAATGGGAGGGCAGGATAGGATTAAGGGAAATAGAGTTAGTTTTTCACAACATGTCTACTATGGAAGTGTTTTGCATAACTGCACATGTATAACCTATATTGAGTTGCTTGCCTTTTCAATGAGGGGGGGAGGGAGGAAGGGAGAAGAATTTGAACCTAAAGTTTTAAAAACATATGTTTAAAAAAAATGTTTCCACATGCAACTGGGAAATAAGAAATACAGGAAATGGGGTACAGAAGTCTGTCCTGCCCTACAGGAAAATAGAAGGGGAAGGGGATAAGAGAAGGGGGTAAGAGATAGATGAGAGGACAGACTAGTGGAAGGGATATTCAGAATGCATGCCATCTTGGGGTGGGGAGAGGGGTAAGATGGGGTGAAAATTTGGAACTCAAAATCTTGTGGAAGTAAATATTGAAAACTGAAAATAAATAAATTTATATTTAAAAAAAAAAAAAGACTTCCAGTGAGTGAGAATTTATTATCTCCTGAAGCAGACTATTCTATTTTTGGATAGCTCTAGTTGTTAGAAAGTTTTTCTGAGTATTAAACCTAAGTTTGCCTCTTTGTAACTCCAATCATTGCTCTTAACTGTATTCTGGAGCTATGTTGAACAAATTTAATCCCTCTTTCATGTGACATTCTTTAAGTACTTGAAGATAGATGTCATATCTCCCTATCTTTTCTTCTTTGGGCCAAAAATCCTTAGTTTCTACAACCAATTCTCTTATAGTATGAACTCATGAATTCCTTCCCTACCCCAGATGCCCTATTCTGGATGCTCTCAAGCTTATCAATACTCTTCCCATACTGTGGAGCACAGATCTTAATACATTAGTCCAGCTAAGGTGTAATCAGGGTACAGTACAGTAGGCCTATTACCTTCTTATTTCTGGAGCTTACGCTTCTCTTAATGCAGCTTAAGTTTACATTCACTTTCTTAGCTCCTATTGAGATGACAATCCACAAAAACCTCCAGATCTTTTACGTATAAACTACTGTCTAACCTTGCCTCCCCTATTTCTTACTTCCAAAATTGGTTAGCATGACACAAAATGTAAAGTTTGACATATAACTCTATTAAATTTCTTCTTAGTTGTTTCAGGCCAGCTTTCTGGCTGATCAAGACCATTTTGTATCTCAGCCCTATCATTAATTGTGTTTATGTCATCTGAAATTTGTATAACTAGAGCATCTATGTTTGATCCATGTTACTGATTAAAATATTTGTTTAGAGCCATTTTTTACAGGTATCTGGAGGGGTTTGAGGGAGAGCTCAAGCAAGTCCCACTGAAGAAAATATTAAGCAGCATAGGACCAGCAACGTTCTCCTGGGGGACCATATGTTAGAAACACTTCAAGATACCATTACACAATTACCATTCTTTGAGTCCACACATTCAGTTTGGAATCCATCTAATTATACCACTGTTTAGCAAAAGGATGATATATACATATATATGTACATATAAACACACAAACATTATATCCTTTTCACAAGAACAACATGAAATATTTGATCAACTGCTTTGCTAAAAATCTAACTAAATTAGGCAAATCTACAGCATTTCCAGGAAAGAAGGAAGGAAGGGAAGAAGGAAGAAGGAAGAAGTTTGGCATGACTTGTTCTAGATGAAGCCATGTGATCTTTGTGATCACCATACTCTTTTCTACTAGGTATTGACTAACCATCCCTTTTAATAAAACTTTTTAGAATTTTGCCAGAAATTATAATTACAGTCGCTAGACTATTGTCTACATATTCTAGGCTATTCTCTTTTTGTTTTGTTTATTTGTTTCAAATTTGGAACAACAGTTGTCCTTATCTAACTCTGTTCTATAACTGCCATCCTCCATCTTTTAAAAATCTTTCACAGTGTTTCAGAAATCACTATAGTTTAACTGGGTCAGGAGATTTGAACTCATCAAGGGATGGTAGGTACTCTTGTATTATCTCCTTTTTTTTAAATCTTTCATTATCAACACCCTCTTAGCTATTTTTCCTGTCCTTTACAGTTCAAGGGTCATTTTGCTTGCCAGAGAAAATGGATTAAAAAAAAAAACTAAGCAGCTCTGGTTTCTCTCTGTTGTCAGTTATTATCCTCCCATTCTCTCTGAACATTTTTCCTATCCCTTTTTTAATCCTCCTGTTTTCCCCAATATAATTTTATAGATTTTTAATTGTCCTCATCAGCCTCAGTTCATTCTGAACTTTAGCACTCCTGACACTATTCTAATAGGATCATGTTACTAGCTAACTTGCGTAACTGTCCTTTAAAAATCTAAATTGGATGGTGAATTTCCATGTTGTCCTCAGCAGCGTATTCAAGTAATGCGTTAATAAAAAAAAAAAAAAATCAACTGGGAAAGAAATAAACAGCTTGCAAATAGCATGTGGAAGACTAGAAGGGGGTATGGGTCCCACTTGAGTAGTGAGGCTCCATGTGTGACAGGGAGGTCTTTCTTAGTGTGTGGCTCAAAGGAAGGCTGAATAGATGTCTCTAGTACCTTCTCCCTCCCTGCCTTTTCTCCTGCCAGGTGGGGAAGGTAGAAGGTTGGGGCCAAGGGCCAGACACCACTCTGCTTGCCTCAGAGAAAGGGGTACCAGACTAGAAGTCTATCTATTTTCTCCCTTAAATACTGTTCATCTATTTGAGGGGATATGATTGGGTTTTGATCATTTTGTCATTTTGAGGGAAGGAGGACCTCCAAGCTTTATATCCAAGGCTTACCTCCTTTCTCACCTAAAACCAATTCCACAATGAACACACATAGAAAACAGCAAAGAAATCCATTTATCCAAAATGTAGCAAAACAGAAATCAGAGAAAGTATACATAGAACATGTATTAGACAACATAGAGTGAAGGAGGTCTCCCACTGGGTAGCTCAACCAAGAGAAAGTTGCCTTCATTTCACTGAAGATGAAACTACCCAAAGTCTCTAGAGTAGCAATATGGGAATAGGGATATGATGGAGGCTGTCTGCTTCTGTCATAACTTCCTAGAGTCTTTTCCTCCAGCAGCCTGAAGTGGAAACTAGGGGCACTCAAATGATGAATCCTCAAAGCAGTCCTAGCTAAGGCTACAGCTCTGTCACCTCTTGCCAACTCCACCCTGCCCCTCACTGAGGGCACAGCATTCACATACAACAATAAGAAAAGAGTACCATACCAATGGGCTTTCGAACAAGGGGTACACAAGAAAGGCAAATTCCTAGTAATGGTTACTTACGATAAATCTCAGTCTAGTCTATTCTCTACTCAGCCATCAAAGTGATTTTCCTAAAGCACAAATCTGACCAATTCACCTTCCCCTCCACTCAATAAACTCTGTTGGCTCCCTATAACCTCCAGAATCAAATATAAAATCCTTTACGGGGCACCGAAAGCCCTTGGTAACCTAGCCTCCTCCCACACACACAACTTTTCAGTTTTCTTACCTTATTCGCTGCCCCTACTGCAGTGTTCTGCAAGTCAGTGACACCTACTGACCTTTTTAATGCTCCTCAAACAAGACACTATCTCCCAATTCTGGACATTTTCTACTGCTGTTCTGTATGCTGGGAAGTCCTCCTCATCTCCATCTCCTGGCTTCTCTGGCTTCTTTCAAGTCCCAGCTAAAATTCCACCTTCTACAGGGAGCCTTTCCCAATACCTCTTAATTCTAGTGCCTTCCCTCTGTTGATCATTTCTTATTTATCCTGTGATATAACTCATTTGTGCAGTTATTTGTATGTTGTGTTCCCCATTAGACTGTGAAGTTTTCCAGGGCAGAGACTATCTTACCTTTCTTTCTTTCCCCAGAGCTTAACACAGAAGCAATAAAAAATTAAATCAAATTAGCACAGTGCTGCCTGCTACATAGTAGCTGTTTAATGTTTACTGACTGATTAACAAGCATATATTTATATTAGAGCACTGCAATTAACATTTTATAAAGTAGTAGCCTTTTACTAATTCAAACTATATGTGTGTATAAAATATAAGATTTATATTTTCTATACATACATGTACATGTATATCTTCCAGTCAGATAGCTTAGGTGGATACCTGTATTAAAAAAATCTTTATATAACATTGAGCTAAGTACTCTGAAAGAGGCTATTGTTATTATTGCTGTTGCTCAGTCGTGACCCCATTTGGGATTTTCTTGGCAAAGATCCAGGAGTGGTTGCCATTTCCTTCTCTAACTTGTTTTTATAGATGAAGAAACAGACAAATAGGGTTAAGTGATTTGCCCAAGGTCACCCAATTAGTAAGTATCTGAGGCCAGATTTGAACTCAGGAAGGCCAGTTTTCCTGACTCCAGACCTAGCAGCTGCCCACATTATTATTATTACTCCTACTGTAAATGTTTTCATTTAAAATGTTTCATACACTCCAACATTAAATTTTCATCAGTCCATACATCATACTAAAATTTTCCAGGTTAATAATAATCTATCGGGCCGCAATTTAAGTATATCATTGCCAAGAAAAAATGCGAAATAGTTTTATGTTTTAGTTTGTGCCAACCAATGCACAGTGTCTCTAAGCAGATCCCGACTATAGCAAAATTAATGTAAAATCCTGTGGTGTTTCTGCTCAAAGAATTGCAAGCATTACTCGCTTTGGAGAGAAACACTTGCTGCCTAAATAAATCAAAGTAAAAAGTCTATACTAAGCAAGAAGGGACTATGGAATCAATACACTGAATGCACGTTTGAACGCACGTTTTTTCTGCCACTTTCCTTTCTTTTCCTAGGTCACTAGAAAAAGATAAAGCCAGCAACAAGGCTTTCATCCGCCACAGAGGTGAAATCTTGTGCTTTCCCTACTACACAGAGAGCCAGCCGCCCCCCAAACCAGAAAAACTTCCGCTGCAGGCATTAGTAGGAATGAGCGTGCGCAGAACCCTTGGAGCGCAGCCAGGGATGAAGCTTTACTCAGAAAACCGTAAATGGGAGTCTCTGGGACACTCATCCAGAGTGCCCAGGTCGGCCTTACCCGCTGAACCTCCGGCCAGGATCTGCTGAGCGGCTTCCCTCCTGAAGCCTCCTCCTCCTCCAGTCTTTGCAGGCATCTTCACTTTCGAAAGGGAGGCTTAGGAAGTCAGAAAACCACCACTTGAGAACAGGGACGGGCAGGGCAGGGAGCAGTCTTTAAGGAATGTGGGGAAGGAAGTTTGCTAACCCTTAAAGGCGGGAAGAGCGTAGCTTTGGAGATCCTAGTGCTGTACCAGCAGCAAAAGCAGCAGCAGCAGCAGTTCTCTGCCCGTACCGCTTTGTCACTTATTAGTCCCACTTGCCTGTTGCACTCCCTCCAAGTTAAACTTCCACCTCTGGCTCACACTCTGGCATGTTAAAACAGAGTGACGTGACTTAAGTAAGAGTGGGGCTTTGCTGATGCTTGATGCGGCATCTGGCTTGTTCCTTCTAGCTTGGGTCATGTAGTGTTTCCCTATCTGATCCCTCCTGCAGTGTCCTGTAAAGCTGGAAATGCTGGTTTGGTTTGAATGACATTAATGAAAAAATGAGCCTGGCTTGGAAATCAAACTGAAGGTCTTCGTTTTGACCCTTGCCTCACTTGGTTTGTAATTATTTATTTTATACCATGTGACAAGGAAAAAATAAATCAATAACCCTCAAAGATACTTCTTTGAACTCTTTCAATATCTAGAGATCAGCTTTGCCACTGCATGGAAGTTACAGGTTTAAATAAAACACAGAAATACCGCTTTCTTTTTATTTCTTATTTTAGACTCCTTTAGCTGTCTGTTTATTCTAGATTCCTTTCATGTTAAATGCTTCATAATATTTGACATTTATGTAGAATTTTACATTGCACAAACTACCTCTTTTGAGCCTCAGAACAATCATGTAAAACACTCCATTTTACAGATTAGGAAAACTCAGACTTTGGGTATCTAAGTGAATGCCACACACTAAGCGTAAGAGGAAGAATTTGAAATCATGTTTTCTGAAATCCAAGTTCTTTGCTCTAGCCCCTATGCTCAATAACTCTACATTCAGCTTACAGCAGCACTGGCTTTAATATCATATCCAACCATTTTACTTGATCTTTGTGTTCCAATTTAATAAAATATAGAAATTGTACGGTAGCCTAAGAAAACCAAAGTGGTGAAATAAGAACTAACTGGTTTGGACAGATGCCAGAGGAAAGAGAAGGGAAAATGAGGGTGTGAGGTACCCAGCCTAAGTGGCTTACCAGCCCTTTCCAGCAGCTGTTGTGGCTTCTCTTGTCTGGCTGTCCCCCATGGCCCAACAAAATGATTCTCTGCACCTCATCTGTCTTTTCCAGCATCTTCTTTTAATGCCAAGTATTTGTCATGGGCTCTTGTGAACTATACTTGGATTTTTAAAAGGAGAAAGAAACCTTCCTGTGTGGCACAACCTCATGTCAATATCACCAAGAAAGGACACTATGGCTACATATTTTAAGATTGCATTATGCGTACTTGACCTGTGCTTTCAATGTCCATTTATTTGGGGAGTCTGAGAGAAGAGATAACTACTCAAATGTTCAAAGATTTTAAAAGATTTGAATTTTCAAAATGGCTAACACCCAACGCTAGCTTTTCCAAACATCCTACTATAGTTACATTCTTATCCCAGGTGAGTTTTTTAGAGTTTGAAGAAATTCTTACTTTCTCTGACTATGTCTGTGAGAATCTCCTTTCTCTAAAGAGATAGACAGTGACAGCAGCAAGGATAAATATATGGACTTCTCATGTTTACTAAGATCAAATCTAACTCATTTTTTTCTCCTTGTTGGGGATTAGGGATTGGGAGATTGGGGATTCGTCTCCAATAATTTCTGGCAAGAAAATAGGAGAACTCTAGAATACCTGGCTCCCATCTGCTTTACCCTATCTTTTATAAGTTTGCCCAGCATGAAGAACCACACTCCAGCCTTGGAAAGAGTCACCCAACTACTACCCCAGAGTGATACACAATCAGTGTTGAGTAAATTGTAAAGAATGTCCATTTGGGTTTTTTTACAGTAACCAGATCACATCTTACTCAAAAGCAAGACAGTAGAAATGTTATTAAAGGAAGACCTAAGACACAAAAACACATGTGGCCACAAGGAAACTCCTTTAAGAAAGTATACCCAATGGAGGCAGCTAGGTGGCGCAGTGGATAGAGCACAGGCCCTGAAGTCAGGAGGACCTGAGTTCACATGTGATCTTAGAGGAGTCTTACATACCTGGAGTGTAACGGATGATCTGGCACATGTATAGATACCATCAGTTTGCTAAGATGGTATCAACTACATGGAAAATACTAGAGAACTGCTTCCGGGGCTGGAGCATTGGTGCATGTACAGACATTCTGCACCAGCCTTTTTCCACTGGCTATGTTGCCAAAATTGTCAGCATCTTCAAAAATGGCCAGTCATGGTCGTTGTGGTAGTAGTAGTAGTCGTAGTAGTCATAGTAGTTGTAGTAACATCATTTATATAGGACCTACTATGTGCTATTTAAAAATGTTACAAATATCTCATTTGATCCTCACAACAACTTAGAGGTAAGTGCTAATATTATCCCTATTTTAGAGTTGAGGAAACTGAGGCAAACAGAGGTTAGATGACTTGCCCAAAGTCGAATATCTAGTAAGTGTTTGAGGATAGGTTTTAACTCAGGTCTTCTTAACTCCAGGTCCAGTGTTCTAGCCGCTGTCCCACCTAGCTGTCTATTTGTGAAGTAGATTATTCCTTCACCCATACCACATAAGGGGGAAAGGCCTTAGAGCTTCCTCCTTCTTCCTCTGAGGCCATGTGGCTCCAAGAAATGGGCTTGGGTCTTTGATCTTTTTTTATTCATTCCTTTCCATTGTACAGTCTTGGAGTTGACCATTCAATCCCATTTGGGAACTCAACAGGAGTCCACAAATCCAAGGCCAGGTATTGCAACAAGCCTAGGAGCAAAGTCCTGAGGAGCAAAGACTACAGTCATCAATAATGCTGGCTTTGGACATCAACTTGGTGGAACCAATGCTATGTAGAAACTGAGCTATATTGTGAGCCAAATCCCACCCAACCATTCCTTTCCCCCTCAGAAGTGATAAAGGAAGAATTACACTCCTGAGATTTGGGTGGGGTTGAATGTTTGTATTTTGTTCTTGCTATATCTTTGAGGTAAATATCATTGCTGGTGGATGCTTGAGCCAATGAAAGAGAAAAGAAGTAAATAACAACCCCTTCAGGTTACCTGAGAACCTGAGTGGGGAAAAGTGATAAAATGTAACAGGCCTGATTGAGAGAGACAGACAGAGAGAAAGATAGACAGACAGAGAGAAAGACGGGGGGAGAGGCAGGGAGGGCAGGGCAAGAGTCAACCATGTCACATCAGAAAAAAATGACTAGTTTTTATTAGTGTTGAAACTAGGCTAATACTGTATTTCAATGTTGCTGAAGAATGTTATTGTGGTCTGGTCTTTAACAAGAGCTGTGTTTTATCTCTTAGTGCAAAGAAAAGGATAGAGAAAGAACTTTTAAAAATACAAAGAGGAAGATGAGGAATACACACCTCCTATTTTTGTATGAAATGAAGGAAAAGTCATTCATGAAAAGGAAAACTAGAGGAGGTTTGGCCTGGCCTTTGCCTTTGCCTCCTCACTTTCCCCTTTGAAGGTACTTCAACTTCAAAGATATTACTGTCTAATAAATAGTTCTGCAAATGCAAAGTCAGCAATCAGGTCTTCCACGCAAAAATTCCCAGAAGGGGCACTGGTCACAAACTTAGAAATCTGTGGGACAAAGCGGAGAAACCAAAGCACAAAGAGTATGGGAATTAACGCAGATGTTGTTAAAGACCTGGGATGAGATGGCTCAGTCAGGAAATCTGGAAAGCAGGCTATAGTGTATCTCTTTGGATGTCACGTTGTGTTAAGGTAGAACGTCCCAGATGGAATGGAGGTAAGCTGATGTGTCCATTCTAGGTTCCTTTTTCCTTGGTCCAATGGAGCACATTGGAGCAAAACAGGAGACAGTGATGTCCAGTGAAGATAGTGGATAACCATCATGTGATGGCCCTGGCAGGATGTAGTAATATTGGTGATCAGCAAAACCTGAATGCACTCCTCCTATAGAGATGATGAACCTAATGATGATTCTCGCTACTGATGGGCCTGGTTTTCTGGTTGAAGGTTTGGGCAAAAGAAGTTAGGTGTTCAAGGTATAACTTCTGATGCTTGTCGATGATCAGACAGTGCATTTCAGTAGTGCCTGCCTATTGCTGGTGCAGTCTCTTCTTCGAAGTCAATACGCATTTATTACATCTCTAGTATGCTCCTGGGATGCCATGCAAAGTGTTAGAGATCTATTTGCTATAAAGTGTCACGAGTTCCATGCAATATTAGGCCACGCTTTCTGTTTGTGACATTCCCAAAGAGAATAGAAACAAAAGAATGAACATCAAGCCCATTAGATCAAATCTTTGCACAAATAGCAATTAGCACATTTTTAAGAATTACATTTTGTCATTGTGCCGAACCTGTGAACTCAGATTGATGTGGGCTGTGAGAATGCTGATAAATCTTCAAAATCTCATAATTTCCTTTATAATGTTTTTCTGCAAAAATGGGTGCTCATGGCACTAGTTATAGACAGAGGGAAGCCAAACCTGACAGTAAAGTCCCTTAAAAATTTTGTCGTAGCTATAACAGTAATTTATTTCTCACAAGGGAAAACTTCACTTCATCCTAAATGTTAGCAAAGAATTATAATTTGTCATTACAAAAATCATCCTGTATGTTTACCAAGGGAGGAGCTTCTTTCATTTTTATAGTCTTCCCAATTTGTCTACCTGATAGAGTAGCTCAATACTATTGTTGGATTTACAGAAGAAAATTCAAAGCTTAACTAATATTCTTTATATGTTTTAATTAATTAATTTTAATTTTTATTATTATAAACTTGGAAAACCAGCAAACATGGATATTTCACCATTAAAAAAAAAAAACAGAAAAAATGAACTGCATTTGAAATCATGGCTCTCTACTACGGAAAGGTGGTTTTTCAAAACCATAATTCAAATTTTATATGTTC